CGGCAGCGCAGACTATGAAGACGGCACCCGGGTACCACTACCCTTTAGCCCCGTTCCTGTGCACTTCTGAGCGGAGTTCAACGCTACGACCCTACTACAGCCATCTTTCCTCTAGTATCTACAAAGACAGTTGTACATCGTTCAGCTCTGTTTGGCTTTTTGTGGGCCATCGAATGGGACTCAGCTAAGCTTCTACAGACCATCTAGTCTAGACAAGTAAGTTCCGTGACCAAAATGGCTCACTGGCAATATTTCACAGGAGTTTACAAGTTCCACTTGGACCTATAATTCCACAAATACCAACAAAAGAAACTGGCGAAAGTGCACAATAACCCCTCCAAGCCGAACAGCGCTCTTTTTTTCCAAAGCAAGAGGCTAAGGCTCCAGTTTTGAAAGCTGGATGTTTTGAAAGATGCTAGGAATTCAGACAGTCCTATCGATAAGTAAGCTTGAACTTACCTTGAACAGATTCCTCCCGCCATAAAGAAAGAAGTCAAAGTCTGAAGTAATACAGCCGTCTACGAGGCCAGCTTGCTCCAACTGAGCACACTGTGCCTCTCCATCAGAACTACCCATAACAACAGGTACACCCATATTATTAAGAAGTTGCTGAAAACAATTCAAAACTATGAAAAACACAACTTTAGCACAATTTTGAGCAGACACAGAACGCTTTACATACCTCCGCATTATAGACCCGTTTCTTCAACTCGTTATGCGCATCAAGAGTCCACCCGTTACCACCACTACGTTTCGACTTCTTTATATGCAAATTACTACTACTCGACTGAAAAAGCTTTGATATACATTTGAATACAAGAATCGTCTTCACAGTTTAACTCGACAAACACTCACATAACTATGGAATTCAGGAGTAATCATGTCGAAAACAACAACAGGTCGGATTCCTACTTCTTGCAATCGCTGTATTCGATTGAAGAATGTAACCAGATATGATGCTCCAGACATGAAGTGATTCGCACAACCTCGTGACGACTCGTAAAGCCAGATATGACCATCTTAACAGAGATTCTCGAAAAAGTTTTCGTCTGAGAAAAAAAAGAAATGAATTCAAAGGCTCACTCATACTTATCACATAAGCTGTGGGCTGCTCATTACACTCCTTATCCCTGAGCCAGAGTAGGCGTGGCATTTGAACATGGCACGGAATTGGTTACTCGTGGAATATTCCAGTCTGGGACAACTGTCATCTTGTTCTGTTGGACAGAGACACGACAACAATTGTGTCAAGATGAAAATATCTCACCAGAAGCATAGACACCTTCAGGTTAAGTTGAAGCATGCAGCCACGCCTACCCGATCTCAGGGATTTCGAGTATACTTATATTACGCGCTATATTACAAAAGGGCACACCCTGTCATTGGGGAATCTCTTTTTGCAAGATATGCCCCTTCCCACCAGCGATACCTCTACGCTAGGGATTCCCAAGGTACGACGTGCCTTCTAATACAAATCCAGTGAAAGTACACTCATACGAATATCCGCCTTCATCTGCTAGAAAATTCCTCTGAATCTTTCTTCTTTTC